AAGAGATTAAGTCCTGATCTGGAGAGTGGTTTCTGCAAGCCAATTCAGAGGGAGGATTGGGAAGAGCCCCTATAGTTTCTTGGAGCCTCATCATTGGGAAGTGCGATCCTGGAAAGGCTGGCTGTGGGGTTAAAGGCTCCTGAAGTGCTCAAGTTTGTAACGTTCTTTATTGCAGTGCCCCGGCTCTTTGCAATAATAATAGCAGAGACTAGGAGGTTTTGGGTTTGTTTAGGAGCCTTCATTTGCCAAAGTTGAAAATTAAGAATTTTAGCGGTTTTTTAGGTGACTTACCTGGATGCGAGCCAGCTGCTGTGGCAAATGAACTAAATAAATCTGGAGTGGACATAGTTTCGCATTCCATCCTGGTCCTTTTTAACTTAAAAGAGAAAAACTAGCCCATTAACAAACAAATAAATGCTACCCAGATGGATCACATCTAAAGACCAGAACCTTGTTTAAAAACATTTTGGAGGGGGCGCCTGGGTGGCTCAGTGGGTTAAGCCGCTGCCTTCGGCACAGGTCATGATCTCGGAGTCCTGGGATCGAGCCCCGCGTCGGGCTCTCTGCTCAGCGGGGAGCCTACTTCCTCCTCTCTCTCTGCCTGCCTCTCTGCCTGCTTGTGATCTCTCTGTCGAATAAATAAATAAAATCTTAAAAAAAAAAAAACATTTTGGAGTTAATTGTAATAGTCATGAGCAGGTTCATCAGGCTTTGTTTGCAAACCTGAATTTTATTCCAATCAGCAGGCTTAGGAAAAGCTACTGTAATTGCCAATGAACATTTCCCAATGAGTGTTCTAGCACCTTGCCCAAAATTAGGGGTTTGGTTATCTAAATCCCCTTCAGGATGTTCCATTGGGCTAGTTTCTTCCAGTGTTTGGCCTGGCCCTCACCAAGGAGCGTGTGGACTAATTGATAAAAATTTGAGAAACCAGGTTGGTAAGTTTGAGTATGTTAAATTCTTTAGCAACCTACTGGGCCCTCAGTTACTTTAGGAAATTCTCTAACTATGGTTGGCAGTTTGGCCTTAGTCCAAGAAACATAAGAAACTTGGGGTTTATTGAGATCATAAGAAGACTAATCTTTAAAGGGGCAAGGTTTAATAGGTTTAAGAGAGGAGAGAATGGCAAGAGGTTTGGAGCTAAAGTAAGTGAAGTCTGGTAGAAAGAATAGAGGAAAATGGCATGGGAGCTGGGGCCTGAGGACAGGTGGCTGCCTCCCGTCTGGAAATAAGGGTGGGGGTGGGCGTGGGTGGGGGCCCCAGAAGCAGTTTTGACTTCTTTCAACTGTTTGCCTCAGTTAATTTCAAAGTAGTATTTTGCAAAGAGGCAAACCTAGAATCCTGACATTTGGGAGCCTCAAGGTACCAATTAAAATAGACATCCGGGGCACCTGGGTGGCTCAGTGGGTTAAAGCCTCTCCCTTCGCCTCAGGTCATGATCCCAGGGTCCTGGGATAGAGCCCCGCATCAGGCTCTCTGCTCAGTTGGGAGCCTGCTTCCTCCTCCTCCTCTCTCTCTCTCTGCCTGCCTCTCTGCATACTTGTGATCTGTCTGTCAAATAAATAGATAGAATCTTAAAAAAAAAAAATAGACATCCCCTTCAGTTTTTTACCCTTTTTAGGGTCTACAGCTTCCTAATTTAGAGTAAAACAAGTTTGGGGAGAAAAACTTCCTCATGGTCATTGGCATTCTAAATTACTTTTAGTTAAGTCGGTCCACTAGTTAGAAATGTACATGAGAAGGGAATGTAGTTTTTATTTTTTATTTTTGGAGGGGAATGTAGTTTTTAAACAGAAAAACCTGGCCAGGGTCTCAGAAGAAGGGCATTTGTATGACTGGAATCCCATTTCTTAGGTGTTTTTTGTTTCTCTAGAGCAAAAAGAAAAGTTCCTCAACAGCGAAGTTTCAATAGGAATAGCCTGGTCCCAAAGCAGTCAGACTGAAAGCCATCACAATTCCAAAAGAACAACCAGTTCCTAAAAATGGAGTCAGACCAAAGGCCAAACAAGTACTCTCAGAAAGGACAGGACCTTAAAACAGGTTCCAAGTTTAAAGCCTGGAAAGGTCAAGCATAAAAAGTGCAGAACTCAAAATCCAGGAGAAAACTTACCCTCCAAAGACAAGGTCAGAAACCAGCAAGCCCGACTGACTCTGGATCCCAGCACCTGCTCACTGCCCAGCCTTGCAGCTTTTGGGGGTCCCACTTCTGATCACCAAATACTGTTAACCTGAGAAATAAAACTGCCACTGATTTCACCAGCAGCAGTGGGCTTTTCTTCCCGAATAGCAGAGAATTGTAATTCAGGACAAGCAAGTTAGGCAAAACCGTAGGAAGTTCACAGAACAAGGCCTGCTGGGAGGTTAAAAGCAAGAAGCCCATTGCAGTAAACCGGGAGTTCTGAGTATAGTGGCCTCTCATTGGCTGACTTTAAGAGTCTGTCATTGGCTGGGTTGTTGCTGGGGCAGGAGGAAAACCTTTCTTGCTCCTGCTGGGGTCCTGAGGTAGTAAAGTACTGTCAGGCTTGTAGGGTATAGTTCTTCCTGTTGGGTCCGAAATTCATGAGCAGGCGTAGCGCAGGAGAGCGCCCCCTGCTGGCCATGACTCCATTCTAAGCAAGGTTTCCTTTTATTCTCATTGTATCAAAGTCTGGAGGAAATAAAAGGTTTATGTGAATTATTTCCCTTTTCTTAAAAAAAAAAAAAAGATTATTTGGGGTGCCTGGGTGGCTCAGTGGGTTAGGGCCTCTGCTTTCGGCTCAGGTCATGATCCCAGAGTCCTGGGATCGAGCCCCGCATCGGGCTCTCTGCTCAGCAGGAGGCCTGCTTCTCTTCCTCTCTCTCTCTGCCTGCCTCTCTGCCTACTTGTGATCTCTGTCTGTCAAATAAAAAAATAAAATATTTTAAAAAAAATTATTTATTTTAGAAAGAGAGAGCAAGCATGGGAATGAATGGGAGGAGGGCAGAGGGAGAGAATCTTCAAGCGGATTCCCTTTTGAACCGGGAGCTAGCTGCAGGGGCTCCATCTCACAACCCTGAAATCATGACCTCAGGGGAAGCCCCGAGTTGGACACTTAACTGATGGAGCCACCCAGGAGCCCCATGTGTGAATTAGTTCTTGAGAGAACAAGCTGGAGGGGTTCTGTTCACAGCACCTTTGTATTGGCAGTGACTTGTAGACATGGTTTGGCTTCTGTGGTCCTTTTCCTGGGGGCGTGTTCTGTTTTATTCTTTGTCCTGATTCTGATAATGGCTCCAGCTCTTGCCCTAGGGAGGGCCTGTAGATGGCCCATAACGTAGCGTCCTTGTTGGTTCCCAATTCAAATACATGTGAGTCCTTTGCTCTTGACATCCCCAGGCCGTACCTAGCCATGGGGGTGGGCTCTTCCAGATTTCGCAGTGAGAGGGTTGGGGTGGAGCCTCTAGCTTTGCATGACCCCCAAAGGCCGACAGGAGCACCTGAGACCGGGAGATGGGCACATCTGAGAATAATTGTGTTCTACAAATGTGCGTGGCTGCCTGGTGTGGAAAGGCATGACTTCCATTGGTGCTGATCTTGGCCTCCTTTTCACTTGCATGTGGGAGCCTCAACTTTGCTTCCTACAGAGGAGTTGGTTGTCTGTTCTTGTTTTTTTTATTTATTTATTTATTTATTTATTTATTTTTATCTCCTCTACATTTAAGAACCAAGATAAAATTGCCAGATTTGGCTGTTTTTTACCCCACAAAATGACCGTTTCATTTGGTTCAACCTAATATTATGTGTAAACACACACATACACAGGGAGATAAATTTTAAGGTAGTATTATATTGTTGATACTGTTCTCTAGAAACCATTGTTTAGGATCTCTCCTGAAGTTATGTATATTCCACTTCTTGGGCATAATCTCTTTGAACTCAATCCCCAGTTGCCTTTTGTCCAGTCAGTTGTTTATGAGGGTTATTGTGTTTGGAATAAATGCCATAGAGGAGATTTAATCTTTTGTGTATTTGTCAAATATATATTCTCTTTCTTTCTTTCTTTCTTGGCCACCAAATGCTAAAAAAACATTTTATTTTCAAAGCTGCTTTTTCTTTACATTTTACAAGAGTTCTTTCTATATGAATGCCACTGAAACCATGTGGCCTGTGGGGAGAAGTGGTCTGCCTGGCTGTCTCTTACTCCCCACACCTTATTCTTCCATCCAGATAAGCCAGGATCAACCCAGTACACTACCTGCTTCTCAGCATGGTTGTGTGGAACAGAAGAGATAATGTGAAGGCTCTGAGAATGATTGTACGCTAAAGGAACGCTTGTGTAGTAGTCGTATTAGTGGTCATAGTAATCACAAGAGAGTCCCTGAAATCTTCTAGGTATACTTTATTTAGCTAACTTTCTTCTCTCCTTTTAAAAAGATTTTATTTATTTATTTGCAAGAGTGTGCAGTGGAGGGGGGGTAGGGAGGGGCGGAGGGAAACCTAAGCAGACACCGCACTGAGTCAGAGCCAACTTGGGGTTCAACCTCACGACCCTGAAATTACAACCTGAGCTGAAAACAGGAGTCAGACACTTAACCAACTATGCCACCCAGGTGCCCCAGCTAACTTTATTCTTGTAGGAAAAGCGCTAATGTAAGTATTTGCTTAGAAAGAATTCATGAACTAGACTGCCCTATTTGCCTGATCAATGAGGTCTTGTGATCAGTGAGCTCTGAGTAGGAAAGCTGAACTCTGAGGTTGGAGGACTGACCCTGGAGAGCTCTCAGTGCCTTGGCAAGTCTCCATACTGAGGAAAATTTCACAGTCTGCTCACTCGGTTGCTGCCCAGGCTCCATGCTGAGAAAGGAGCATCCTGGTTGAGTGTGGCTGGGATGGGCAAGGTGTGAGCTTGGCTTCTGTGGCTGGAGCGCGCCTTAGAACCAGGGCCCAGGATGGCGCCCTTAATTCTCTCCTGAGGGTCCCGGAGGGGGTGTCCCTGCAGGGAACAGCTGCCTACTCTGTGTGTATGTGTGTTCTCTTCCAGGCTGCTGACTTGGGACACCCACAAAGCCAGAAGCAAGTCGGAGCCTGCCAGACCACCTGTGCCATGGATTCTAAGGTCAGCTCTTGGGCTTCTCCTGGTTGAATGCTTTGGGAGGGGGAGTGAGTGTGGGAGCGAATGTGACCGGGGCCAGCTTGTTTGTCATGTGTGTGCTGTCAGTGTGGACCCTGCTGACCCCTTCTCTGACAGTGCTGCGGGGAGGAGCCTCACATTCACAACTTACTGGAGCACAGTAAAGAAGAAGAAAGACCTTGTCTCCTCGTCCTCTTCCGTCTACCTTGTGCCTGGTTGCTCACTGGAAGGGCAAGGCAACTTTCTGATTCAGGACCATTTGGAAGCTCTAGAGTTCTTGGAAGCAATCCTCCCAAGGTCATATTGGCCATTCCCCTGGCTTCAGCAGGATGGTACCTAAATGTGTTCTCTGTACTCCCCTTTTAACTAGCTGGAAGAGAAAATCATGGCCTATCCAGTCAAAAGCTCTCTATTCATCTACTTCCTATATAGTTTTCTATTTCCCTTCTTTGCCAAGAGGCCCTCAGCCCCAGGGGCTCCTCTGTGTCCATGCTGTGTGCAGCAGCCTTTGTTCTCACCCGCTTTTGGGAGAGGTATCTGCAAAAAGTCTAAGGATGGTAAATTGGTGGCCCACCGTTTCCGAATTCATAGCAACGCCTAGCCCCTGGCAGGTGCTTGAGGTGTAGTTGGATGCTCTCCTAAAGAGCGGAGACCACAGGCTTCTCAGCTGGGTATCCGGAGTGTCCGAGACATGGCAGGCTCAGCAGAGTTGGTAGCTGCTTGGCCAAAAGATTTCAGCAGCTCCTTTTGTCCAGATAAAGGTCTATTTCGGTATCCAGAATTCCCTTCCATTCGGCGCCTTTCCTGTCCATTTTTGTCTTCTCCATGTATGTACATATGTATAAGATTTCTTTTAGTTTTTCTTGTAGGACAGGTCTACTGCTGTACTGTGATTGATCTTACTTATTTAATTTTTTTTAAGTAGGCCTCACAGGGCTTGAACTCACGACCCTGAGATCAAGACCTGAGCTGAGATCAAGAGTCAGTCACCAGGTGCCCCTATTTATTTATTTCTTTTAAGTAAATCCTACGCCTAAGTGGGGCTCAAACTCAGGATGCCGAGATCAAGAGCCTCGTGCTCTACCTGCTGAGTCAGCTGGGTGCCCCCATTCTTGTCCCTTTTAACTTGGCAACTGTTGTGTCCTTTCCTGTATTGCAGAGGTGTCTGCATTAGAACAGCATTGCTATGTCCTGCTGTGTGGATCTTGAACTTCCACGAGTGCTTTTGTCCACCTTGTCCATCTCTCCTGAAAATCCTCCAGTGGAGGAAGGGGGATAGAATTACTCCCAGTGTTTTCTCTTTTTCAAGGTGAGAAAACAAAGATGCACAAGTTGCCCAGTGTCCCATGGAGCTGGGGTTCACAGTGAAACCCTGAGCAATTTCCTCTTACGTTTCAGAGTTTGGCCCCCATCACAGTTTTCATCCTGTTGTAGATTTTTCTAACTTTTTTCTTTGGAGGTTTTTCCAGTTTTTAAAAAATTGTGGCAGAATACATAGCATAAATTTTACCATTTTAACCTTTTTTTAAAAGATTTTATTTATTTATTTGACAGACAGAGATCACAAGTAGGCAGAGAGGCAGGCAGAGAGAGAGGGGGAAGCAGGCTCCCTGCTGAGCAGAGAGCCCGATGTAGGGCTCGATCCCAGGACCCTGGGATCATGACCCCAGCAGAAGGCAGAGGCTTTAACCCACTGAGCCACCCAGGTGCCCCCATTTTAACCTTTTTTAAGAACACAGTTCACCAGCATGAAGCACATTCATGTTGTGGTGACACCATCACCACCATCCACCTCCAGAACTTTTCACCTGTTCAGCTGAAACTCTGTCCCTTTTAAATACTAACTTCCATCCTGCTGTCCCCGTTTGTGGCAGCTCCCTCCACTCTCTGTCTCTGTGAATCTGACTACTCTAGGTCCCTCAGAGAAGTGGAGTTGGGCAATATTTGTCCTATTGTGTGTCTGACTTACTGCACTGAACGCCATGTCTTGTGTTGGTTTTGTTTTTTTGTTTTTTTTTTTTAAACTGTTACAGTACCGTTCATCCACATTTTAGCACTTTAAAAAATTTTTTTTTTAAATTTTAAAAAGATTTTATTTATTTATTTGTTTATTTGACAGAGAGGAGAGAGCACAAGCAGGGGGAGCAGCAGAGGGAGAGGGAGAAGCAGACTCCCCACCGAGCAGGGAGCCTGACATGGGGCTCGATCTCAGGACCCTGGGATCATGACCTGAGCCGAAGGTGGATGCTCAACCGATTGAGCCACCCAGGCGCCCCCATTTTAGCATTTTTCTTTGATTTTTTTTTTCTTTATATTTAGAGAAACAAAATAAGTACAATTGGTTTAGTTTTTTTTTGTTTTTTGTTTTTTTTAACTGTTTGTATGGTGCTGTTTTTGCCAGGTTTAGGCACCTGGATTGTTCTAGTTTGTTAAAACACATTGGATAGCTTTCCATTTTTTCTCTCTACTCTGAAACTGATTTTGTAGCATGAGATTTACTTTTGCATATCTCCCCTTTTTTTTTTTAGATTTATTTATTTGAGAGCATGAGTGGGAACGGGCAGAAGAGGGAGAGACTCTCAAGCAGACTCCCCACTGAGTGTGGAGCCCAACATGGGGCTTCATCCCATGACCCTGAGGTTCATGATTTGAGACGGAACCAAAAGTCGGTTGCTTAACTGAGCCACCTCGGTGTCCCTTGATCATTTCTCTTAACATGCTTTTTCCTGTGATTTAGAAGGATAGATGGCTGTCAAATCTTATGTCTTTCGAGACATCCATTTCAACTTTTATCACTGGAAGTTCAGAAAGAGTCACAGTTGGGCACCTGGGTAGCACAGTAAGTTGAGCGTCCAACTCAGCTCAGGTGGGGAGATCCAGCCTTATGTCAGGCCCCACGCTCAGTGTGGAGTCTGCTTGAGATTCTCTCTTCCTCTTCCTCTGGCCCTCCTGCTCATTTGTTCATTCATTCTCTCTTTCTCTCTCTCTCTTAAATGAATACATAAATCTTTTTTTTTTAAAGGTCCCAGTTTCAAATTTGATTTCTCACAAGCTCTGTTTGTTTTTGGAATTAATACGATTAGCTCTAAGCCCACCAGGTTTAGTACAGCCTGTTCTTGAACTGTGTCTATCCAGCTGCTTTTCAGTGGGGACTGAGCATTCACAATCCAGCCCCAGCCCTCCTTTCTTCTCTCCAGGCCAAGACATCTCTTTCAGGTAGAAATGAAGGGTGTTCTTTAGTTTCTGAGCTGTCTTGTGCCTCCTGGCCTCAACATACCAAATTTAAGAATCTGATATAGTAGAGCTTTTATATAATATTTCCCCCCCTTTTAAGAAATAATTCTGGAGAAGGAAAGGCTGAATCACAATACATAAGCACCTTGTTTTATGCATTTCATTTATTTAAAACAATCTGCCCTCTAAAAACTGTCCTAAAAGTTTTCTGAAATTTTTTAGTGAAAAATTTTCAGGACTTAGAAGACAAATAAATGTTACCAGCACCTTCATCTTCTTCTACTGAGCTTCTCTTATAGCCAAGTATGTGCCAGTTACATTTTCCTGGGTGATCTCAGTATCCCCAGCCTTCTGGATGATTCCCTCGCTCATCCTAGGTCTTTGCTTGCTCCAAGCACAGCTGGCTGCTGGGGTAGAAGCACTCACCAAGAACACTGTCCCAGGACAGTCAGTACCCCAGAAACAACCCTCCTGGCTCCCAGAGCACAGATGCTGAGCCGAGCTCCCACAGCAAGTGGTGCTGGCAGATGAGGGGCTGAGCCCCTTGTGTGAGAGCAGGAGCCATCCCCATACATCTAGATTGTGGTGAAGGGCCATATCCTCCTGATGCAAACCAAGCCTGCCCAAAGGGAGGCATTATCTGTAGTCATTACTGCCCAGATTTATGGAAAATGGGCTGTCACACGATGCATCTTAGCCCACAAAGGAGACTGTGAAAAATAAAGAGCTTCTAACTGCTGGTTGCATAGCTGATAGGGTGGGCTGAAGGTGCTAAAAGATACATGGGAGTTAGCCAAAGCATGCAGGTGTAAGGATGGCATCCAATTGATATTGCTAACTTCCCTAAAACAGCCTTTGGACCTTCTTCCTCCAAAAGCAAGCTTACCCCAGCTCAGTGTTTTCAGGATGTCATGCAAGTGTCTGCAGAATTAGAACTTTTTCTTTGGCACCTACGGGGGGCACTGCTTAAAGCAAGCACTGACTGCAGACTTGGCCTCTGCCCACAGGGTCATTCGGACATCTTGGCCCAGTAAGCTATTTCAGGCCCAGCTGTCCCCTGAGCTCCTGCCAAGCTCAGCTGCAGGCAGGGCCTCTGGGCCTGGCCCTGGTTCCCACACATCTCCCTGAATCCCTTTTTATCTTAGGTCAGCAATGGTTCAGGCCTCCAGGATGAGCGCATCACGAACTTGCTGGTGTTTGGCTTCCTCCAAAGCTACTCCGACTCTAATTTCCACAAAGAGTTGGAGGTCCTGGGCCGGGAACTGCCCATGCCAGCTCACCTGCAGGAGGAGCAAGACGATGGGCTGCAGACAGACGGCAACCGCTGCGGCCACTTCCTGGCAAGTGAGGAGAGAGGTAGGCATCTGGTCCAGCGGCCTCTGCCCCAGATCTGGGCTTGCTGTCTCCAGGAACCTGCAGGGAACCCAAGTTTTGGAAGGGAGCTTGGGGCTGTCTCCCATCTTGTGTCAGTTCATCATAGATGTTTGTGTCATATGGTGGCTTGGTCTGGACCTGACGAGGCCAGTGACGCAGGCCTGACTTTCTACCTAGTTGATTTCCAGACTTCACCTCTCCTCACCCTCATCCCTGTGCTATCCCTTCCAAGTGTACTTTTTACCCTTCTCTGCCATTGGTGCAGCCTCCACAGATGGAGGCCATCCTGAGGTGAAGGCTGAGGGAGCAGGGCTGGGAAGCATGTTCAGAATCAGCCTCTCCTGGATTCTGAGCACATTAGAATTCCATGAGGAACATTTTCATAATGCATAGTCCTTGGGCCCGACTCCATCTGCCCGAACCAGTGTGCTCTAGGGTGGTAAGACTCCCAGGTGTCTATGAGGTATATGCCCTGGTGAGAATCACTGCCCTAAAAGCCCAAGGTGACTCGTGAAGACCTGGACCCAGGCCTCCCAACCTAGCAGAGAACCGAGTCAAATCCTTCTTCCTGCCGCCCAGCCTTCTCCCAGCATAGGAAATTGCACCGCCCTCTGGTGGCCATGGGGCAGACCGACAGCTGATTCAGCCTTTGGACCTCCAGCTCTATCTTAACTTGGGTGGTTGGGATATGGCCGGAGTTACCCACGAGCCAGGACTTTCTGTGCCAAAGACTTTCTGTGGTTTAGAACTCAGGCAAGTTTAGGGGTGGCCCTAGACTTGAGTTAGAGCAACTGGTCCTCTCTGGGAAGGCTTAGGGAGGGCATGGGGGCAGGAACAGCTTGGTTCTCAGAAGCTGCTGCAAGGCTAACTGCAACCAGAGGCTGCCACCTGGGCTGTCCTTTGCTCTTCCATACCATTCCTTGCCTTTAGACTGCAAAGCCTGGCTTCACTCAAAGGGCATTTGTAAAAGTGATTATGGGGCTGTATACCATCCTTCATCTCTGGTAGAAAACTGGCCTGTGAGTTAAGTACCTGACAAGATTTGGAAGCAAAAGGCAGAATAGAGGCTCTGTTTACCACAGTTCCATTGGTGAATTCATTTACTCAGCTGAATACTGATTGAATCTGCCAGGACTCCTGAAGTTTGCTAGAACAAAGTAGAAAAGCTCAGAGAGGTCAGTGAGGCCGTGAGTGCAGCGGGAGCTCTGGAGAGTCAGGAGAGACTGCTTGGCTGGAACTGCAGTTGAGCTGGCCTGTGGAGGAAGGGGTACATTTTGGTTCTTTGGAAACTGGTAAGAGGCGATGGTAACAGCATCAGCAGACGCTTGCAGGCGGAAAGACTGTTGAAAGGTTGTGTGAATAGTTGGGTTTGGCTAATGTGTTTGGAAGGAATAGTACAAGTTAAGGTCCAAGGTGTCTCGAGGCTGGGCTGCAGCTTGTCACTTCAGCAGCTGCGAGCCTGTGAAGGAGTAGAGAAGTGACGTCCTAGCCATGCTCCACGGGTCATGGTGAAGACGAGTGAGGGGCAGGTGAAATGCTGAGGGCACAGGGTCCCAGCTGGTGCCCCCAACTCCCTCAGAGCCTCTTTCACTCTTGCACCTCCATGCCCAGCTTGCCACAGCATATCATGGAGAGTGGGCAAGGGCCTGGCAGGCAGCGAGAGGGGGCTCGGAGCTTGCCATCATGACCCAGGTGAGAGCTGGCAGAGAACCCATACCCGAGTGGGGGCGCTGGTGACAGTAGGACGGACAGGGGTGTCTGTGCTCTGAGATAAGACGGGACACCTGCTTACATCACGTGATGTGATAGCTGCAAGCACTGCAGAGGTTGAGATGTCCGTCCTGGGTAAATGAGAAGCCAGAGGGAAGGTGCAGACACAGAAAAAATAGATTTCCTGGGAGAAATAACCACAGCTGGCATTTATTGAGAACTTACTAGGAGCTAGGTACAGGATATGTTCATTGACTCATTAATTTGTGCAGTTTATTGAGCACCTCCTGTGTGCCTTGCCTTGTTTTCAGTGCTGTGTATTTGACAGTAAACAAAACATTTAAGAATCAGAGCTCTTAGGAAGCTTACCTTCTGGCAAGGGAGTCAGACCAAGAACATAGATAAGTGGTGTAGTAGTGAATGCTGAGGGAGGGAAAGGAGAGGGGAGGGCAGATGGCAGGGCAAGCGGGGTTGGTCTCAGACAGAGAGAAGGAGCTGCTCTTTTTGGCAGATGAGCGGCTCTAACTCGGGCTGGCGGCAGAGCCTCGGCCCTAATGGAGGCTGACACCTGTTATGTGATGGGGCAGAGAACTGGCAGTCAGGAAGGGTGCCGTCAGATTCATGCCTCAGCCTCCCATGGTCACAGATGCCCTGGTGTCACTGTCCTTTTCACAAGCAAATGTTCACTCTGTGTGCAGGGAGGGGCCTGCTTCTCCAGTCTTTCTGCTCACTTAGGCCCTTTCCTGGCCCCAGCACCCTGCCCCGGCTGCCCTCAGCTGCAGGTTCCAGGTCTTCACACTGCAGCTCTTCTAGAATAGACCACATGCTCAGCAAGCCCACTGCGGTGAGCTGTACGAACGGGCTCGCTGTCTTCCAAAGCAGAATCCCTTTCTATTTCTGGTACGGGGTGGAGTGGGAGGGGTCAGACAGGGCCGTTGTCTGAATCCGCTGTGTCTCTGTGCCCCTGCCTGAACATTTAGATTCTCAGGGTCAAGAGGAAATCATTCAGGATATCGCCAGGCAGCTCGCCAAAATAGGGGACGATATGGATCGCAGCATCCACCCAGGACTGGTGAATAACCTGGCAACACAGTTCATGAATAGGAGACTGTCGGAAGAAGTAAGTGAGAAAATCCACCACTGCCTTTTCTGGGTTAGTCAGGAAGTGTGAGAACTTTTTTCAGTGGTCAGGTTTTTTAAAATTTTAATTCCAGTGTAGTTAACATAGACTTATATTAGTTTCAGGTATACAATATAGTGATTCGATAGTTCTATGTCTGACTCAGTGAACATCAGGATAAGGGTGCTCTTAATCTCCTTCACCTATTTCACCCATCCCCCACTCACCTCCCCTGGTAACCAGTGGTTTGTTCTCTATAGTAAGAATCTGTTTTTCAGTTTGTCTCTTTTTCCCCTTTGTTTGTTTTGCTTCTTAAATTCTACATATAAGCCAAATCATACGGTATTTGTTTTTCTTGACTGGGTTACTTCACAGCGTAATACTCTGTAGCTCCATCCATGTTTTTGCAAATGACAAGCATTCATTCTTTTTTGTGGCTGAATAATATTCCATGGTATATATACCACATCTTTTTAAAAAAAATTTATTAACATATAATGTATTATTTGCTTCAGGAGTACAGGTCTGTGAATCATCGGTCTTAAACAATTCACAGCACTCACCATAGCACATACCCTCCGCAATGTCCATCACCCAGCCACCCTATCCCTACCTTCCCACCCCCCAGCACCCCTCCGTTTGTTTCCCGAGATTGAGTCTCATGGTTTGTCTCCCTTCCCCGTCACTTCTTGTCTTTTTCTCTCCCTATCCCCACGAACCCCTGCCCTGCCTCTCAAATTCTTCATGTCGGAGAGATCATATAATTGTCTTTCTCTGATTGACTTATTTCGCTTAGCATAATAACCTCTAGTTCCATCCACGTCATTGCACAAGTCAAGATTTGGGGGGTTTTTGATGGCTACATAGTATTCCACTGTATATATATACCACATCTTCTTTTTTTTTTTTTTTTTAAGATTTTATTTATTTATTTGACAAACAGAGATCACAAGTAGCCAGAGAGGCAGGCAGAGAGAGAGGAGGAAGCAGGCTCCCTGCTGAGCAGAGATCCCGACGCGGGGCTTGATCCCAAGGCCCTGAGATCATGACCTGAGCCGAAGGCAGAGGCTTAACCCTCTGAGCCACCCAGGCGCCCCTATATACCACATCTTCTTTATCCATTCATCTGTTGATGGACATCTAGGTTCTTTCCATAGTTTGGCTATTGTGGACATTGCTGCTATAAACTTTCGGGTGCACGTGTCCCTTCGGATCTCTACCTTTGTATTTTTGGGGTAAATACCCAGTAGTGCAATTGCTGGGCTGTAGGGTAGCTCTATTTTCAACTTTTTGAGGAACCTCCATCCTGTTTTCCAGAGTGGCTGCACCAGATTGCATTCCCACCAACAGCATAGGAGGGTTCCTCTTTCTCTGCATCCTCGCCAATACCTGTTGTTTCCTTACTGGTTAATTTTAGCCATTCTGACTGGTGTGAGGTGATATCTCACTGTATACCACATCTTCTTTATCCATTTACCAATTGATGGACACTTGGGCTGCTTCTATAATCTGGCTATTGTAGATAATGCTGCTATGAAAATCCCTTCGATTAGTGTTTTTGTATTTTTTGGGTAAGTATCCAGTAGTGCAATTACTGGGGCACAGGGTAGCTCTATTTTTAATTTTTTGAGGAACCTCCATACTGTTTTCCAGAGTGGCTGCACCAGTTTGCGTTCCCACCAACTGTGCACAAGAGTTCCTTTTTCTCTGTATCCTCACTAACATCTGTTGTTTCCTTTGTTGCTGATTTTAGTCATTCTGGCAGGTGTGAGGTGATATCTCATTGTAGTTTTGATTTGCATTTCCCTGATGATAAGTGATGTTGAGTGTCTTTTCATGTGTCTGTTGGCCATCTGTAGGTCTTCTTTGGAAAAATGTCGTTTATGTCTTCTGCCCTTTTTTAATTGGATTCTTTGTTTTTTAGGGTTGTATGAGTTCTTTATATATTTTGGATACTAATCCTTTATCAGATATCTCATTTGCAAATATCTTCTCCCATTCAGTAGGTTGTCTTTTAATGTTCAGTTGTTAATTAAACCATCAAGGTCTGTCCTCTCTCTCCTCTCAGACAGACCAGTGTCCAGTGAGGTGTCTCAATTCATGACTGCCTACAAAACAACTGGAAATAGAATCATAGCATGGTTAATTGTCTTTCAGAAGAATCAACTTACTTGACATTTAGGAAACTTGAACCTTAAGTCAGAGTCAAGTAGATTAACAAATCTAAGCAGATTAACAAAATGTATATGACTCTTCCACAAATAACTTATTCTTTCTTCGGTTTCAGAGAGTTGAATAACAATGTAAGTAGAGAATGTCAAGACACAAGGAAAGTGACATTTTATTTAGCCTGCTACTCTTAACTTGATGGTTATAATCAATACACAGATACTAACAGAGCTTCCAACCCTTGCTGGGTCCCATAAAGTACTCTGCCTTTCCTGAAGAAACGTAGTGGGAGAGAGAACTGTTGCAAGGCTATTAAATCTATGTCTACAGGAGTTCAGAGGAGAGAAGGGTTCCATCCTTTGACTACCAGCTGAAAATGCAAATGCTCCTCACTACATAGAAATGTATTTGTCCTCCAAGTTTCAGTCAGCCAGGTCAGCCTCGTCAGCCTCTGCCTGCAAGAAGGTCTCCACTCCAGGGATCTCTCCTCTGGAGTTCTCCAGCAGCTGTCATAGACTTGGTAATGTTCTGCCTTAGGCCCTCTCCCACAGTGTTAACTGAACTTTGCATCTGAGTTGATGAGCTTGAAGGTCCTTTAGGGTCTAATGGTCTATGGGCCGCCCCTGCCACCTAGGCTAGGTGAGAATGGCACATTTAGGCCCCTTCATCCCCTTCCCTGGAGCTACTAAGATAGGTCTAAGACATCTTGGGTAGTTAACTAATTCTTGACTTTAAGTGCCCTAGAGGCAGGAAGGACTTGGGCTTCTTCAGTTCCATTGTCTAAATTTTACACACATGCCCCACAAAAATGAATTTGGTGAATGAGTGTCCAGCTGCAGGGAGTGCGCCCAGTCTCCCTTTTTCATTGTCTCTCAAAATTAAATCATTTCTCATTCTCTTCTCCAACCTCCTCAGCTGTTTAATACGTTCCTCCCTGTGAAATGAAAGCATGCTTCTTTCTACTTAACATTGGAGGACTGTTTTCCTCTCATAGGAAGATATTAGTAAACTTGGTGCTGTGGGACCCTGTTTTCACCCCTGCAGGACAGAAGGCAGTGCCTCGCTACTGCGCTGGAGCGGGTCATGCAGACTTACCCTACAGACATGGAGGACGAGAAGACCATGCTGATACTGGCCATGTTCTTGGCCAAAAAGGTGGCCGATCACACACCATCCTTGCTCCGTGAAGTCTTTCGCACAACAGTGAACTTTATTAACCAGAACCTGTTCACCTACGTGAGGAACTTAGTCAGAAATGTAAGAACCAGTGATGTCAGCTCGTTGGCATTTCACTAAATCCTCTTGGTTTCTGCCTGGTCCCTCTAAGGTTTGGAAACCCAACAGAACTCTGCTACAGGGCTTCTATCATCCTTTCTCCCTCTGTTCTGGTGACCAAACCACAAGAAAGGCTTCAGGATCTTCTTGCTTAGGTAGAAAGGCTTGGTTTTGCTTCTGTGAGAAAGTTGTGTTGTAGAGGGTGGTAATGAGCACCTAATGCCCTTTTGAGCTTCATCAATGTTATTTTTAAGACAAGCTACTATCAGAACATACTTCATAGGTATACTATGCTATACTATTGCTCGAATCAGAATAGGATGGTGTAGGTGGGAGTGGAGCATGAAAGGTGTATCCTCAGCTGAGCTGCTCATCTGCTCTCACCTTGTCACAAACATTAAGTATAATTTACTTTTTTTTAAAAAGATTTTATTTATTTGAGAGAGAGAGCACAAGCTGGGAGGGAGGGGCAGAGGGAGAAGCAGGCTCCCCGACGAGCAGAGAGCCTGAGGCTCAATCCCAGGACCCTGGGATTTTGACCTGAGCCACCAGGTGCCCATAATTTACATTACCAAACAGGATGTTGGGGAGAGACCAAAATAGTCAAAGGGGAGAAAAACTAGCTAAAATCTTCTCCATAAAACCTGTCCAAGATATTAAAAATAAGTTCTTTATGATGCTGCCCAAGAAGGGCCAATTCTTAAAGTTTGTTGCTTCACTTTAACTGGAAATTAAGTAGATGTATCTTACTGTAAATTTGAAAATAATAGTGAATGTTTGGGATTTTGTGTGTCAGAAATATAACCCAGGTATCTAACCCTGTTAATATTTACTGATAAGTCTCAATGCCTTTTTTGTATCTGCCCTGGCCTTCATACATGCCAGCATTTTTCTAAGCTTTTTTTTTTTGAGAGAGACAGACCGCACGCAAGTTGGGGGGAGGAGTGGAGGGAGAGGAAGACTAGGAAGCAGGCTCCATGCCCAGTGCAGAGCCTGATGCAGGGCTCAATCTCCTGGCCTGAGCCAAAATCAAGAGTTGGAAACAATGGACTAAGCCACCCAGGTGCCCCTATGCCAGCATTTTAAAACAGGAGAATGAATATAAATTTTCATTCAAGTATATTAAGTCAAGCTGAATTATTAGAAGAAGGTAAGCCTGAGAAAGTTCCTGGACAGCTTTCAACAACCGTCTAAAGGAGGAAAAGTGAACACGATGTCATGGCAATCTGTATTAACAGCTTACCAAATACTGAAGGGATGAGGGGCCCCTGGGTGATTCAGTCAGTTAAGCACCTGCCTTCAGCTCTGGTCACGATTCAATCCCGGGGTCCTGGGACAGAGCCCCGCATCAGGCTCTGTCCCTCCCCCAACTCGTTCTCTCTCTCTCTCAAAAAAAAAAATAAATAAAATCCTAAAAAAAAGTACCGAGGGAATGAAACAGAATCTCCATTCCTCAGACCCACTAAGGTGCTTCTTGGTACTGTAAGTGACTGAACAGATGTGAAGATCCAGATCTCAGCACCTGGGAAGCCTGTTTCTGTGGTTGTTCCCATCTAGCAAGGAGGAGAATGCAGGGCTCGAAGGATGACAGGGCTCCAGAGACTCCACAGAGTGTGTACAAAACTCAGCTTCACTTCTGTTGATTGTGGCTCCAGAGTCCTTAAGAACTGAATCCTGGTTTGTGAATTAGACTGCTTAATTCTGGCTTTTTTTTCCTTTCCTGCTGTAGGAGATGGACTGAGTGGACACCTCTGCCGAAGCAAGACTGGTTAAAACTTGATATGACAACAAAGCAGCTGCCTCCGGCCAAGATGGAGCTATAGCCATTTAAACAAAGTTCTTAGAGAAGATACTCATGAGATAATAGCTATTTATTTCTATTTTAAAGATGTTTTAAGCTTGTGATCCATTTAGACATCTTTACATTAACATACTTGAATGGAAATATTGCACATTGTTGAATGAGTTTCATACCATCTTCTAAATCCACTACACATTGTGCATTTATCTCAGTTGTAGTGTTCTTCACTTGAAAATTAAATTTAAGAACCGATTGTAAGACAGAAGAAAAAAAACACAATGGTTTTTTTTGTTGTTGTTAAAAAAAAAAAACCCCAACTTTACTGTTTGTTAAAGTGGAACCTTGGGGCATGGTCTTACAGCAAGGCAAGATTGGGTTTGAGGAGAGCAAGGACTGGAGACGGATGCATATACCCTCACGAATGAAAAATTCTTCTCAAAGTAGGGAACATTGTAATACTAAGGAAATAGCAATCTTCCCATTTAAAAACCAACCACTGTTGTTACCACGCATATGACCCTTTGGGGAAGCATATGAACAAGAGTAATTAGGTACCGAGAAATACTTTATTACCAAAAACACTTTTCTGTTCCTTGAGAGTTTAATCAGAGGGGAAAATGAGGGGCGCCTGGGTGGCTCAGTCGGGGAAGCGGCTGCCTTTGGCTCAGGTCATGATCTTGGGGTCCTGGGATCAAGTCTCACATTGCGCTTCCTGCTCAGCAGGGAGTCTCCTCCCTCTCCCTCTGTTCTCTCAAATAAATAAAATCTTAAAAAAAAAAAAGATAAAAAAATGCACTGTTCAGCATTAAATGCATACCACACTAGGGCTGGGTCGCAACCTGGTTATCTACAATGTGTAGCAAATACTAAAAGCTGTGCAGTATGAAGGTCACCATTTGGAAATCAATCTTCTAATAACAGTTACGAATGTTTTGGAGTGAAAAAAAATTTTTTTTAAGGATTCATAGTATGAGGGAAACAAATCACACATACATACTCATCCATACATGTATCAAAGTGTTCAGATTCTCACTAGGGAGAGATACTTTCTTCCAAAAGGAACAACTTAAATACCAAGAGTCAATGCTAAGGGAAAAGGGCTCTAAAACAAATCATCCCAGACTCTCTCATAGTACAACTTTTCATAACACCTTCACCTGCCATTGTTTTTGCTTAAATTAACAATAGGCCACCATTTTAATACAGTTTATACACACTTCTTGGTGTACTTTTTTCTTTTTTCCAGGACAAGTTAGAGTTTTTCAGCCCATAAAGCAAAATTATCACCTCTTGTCCCCAAGCTGGCATTATGAAGAGTCTATTGTATCAAAAACAAGTGGTCCAGTCTTGGGCACATCTCAGCCACAATGACTCAGGCATATCCTGGAAGTTGGTGGATTTTACACTGGGAAAATAATCCTCTTGGATAGAAAATTTTAATTGAGATGTTTCATCCTGTTTTTTAAATATTTGAATTAAGTGATGGACATTCCTTGGTTAAAGAGAAATAACTTTCTTCTCCAGGAGATGCTTGGTGTATTTGAAAAGCAGATGGACTATTCAGAAGGTCCAATCATTCCTGATCTCACCAGACAGGATCCAGAACTGCAGAGATGCTCAGGGCTGCCTTAAAGGGTCACAGCACCAAAGCCTACTACTATTTCCCAGCAATTTCATTGCTCACTGGGAACCTGAATAGGGAGTGTCCTTTGGATGTTACGATCATGTTTTCAGAACCCGAGGGCAAAGCAAATAAGTGGGTACTTACGAAGACCACAAGATTATCTGAATTGATCCCTCCGAAGTCAGGGCATAAGGTTACCATATGAATAGAAAGAGGAGTCCATCAGTTATCTTCAGATCTCACTTTATTTCAACTTCCAATGTGTTCTCCCCAACACACTGTGTCTAACAAAGCACAATTCATAGATCTGAATTTTGTTCCTTTCCCCTGATGAAGAGTTGACTGGCCAAAAGGCCAGGAGGGAAAAGGAGCCAGAATAACCCACAGAAATGGAGCAAACCAGAGCTGTGAATGAGGAGAGCTAACGGAAATTCATACAGAAAAAGGAAATACGTGCACTTATGTGAAATGCTTATGTTAATTACCAAAATTACCATTTAATTCCAATAATTTTGAGGAGATGAGAGCATTAGAACCAATAATACACTGAACTCAGTCAAGGAACGAGGTAGGAAGAGGCACTTTTAATATGAAGAAAAAGAGAAATGGAAGACTAGGTAGGATAGCAGGAAAAACACAGGTCTAGGAAAAAAAATTGTCTTTTCCTTTGGTGCTGGCCAAGGACCAATCTATGTAATGGGATTATCTAGCTAGAAATCAGGAACCAGGTTATTCCAGATTCTAATAGGAAAGATTGTACTTCAACTTCCTTTTATTCCTGGAACGTAGTAAAATGTCAGAACTTTTGTTCATAATAATACACCGATTAGCCAATTTCTCCTAGTGGTGCAAAGAGCACTCACTGAGCGAGATTACTATAAAATTTCCCCTAAGAAGCTTAGAAGGGGGCAGGGATCACCTTAAGCCAGCTGTTGCTTTTTAACTCATTACAAGGCCTTGCAAATATCCCTGAGAACATTTCCAACCTGAGCTTACGACTGGAGCAACTGCCTGGCCAGAGCTATTGCGATGTAAACATAAACATGTAGAGAACCCTATTGGTTTCAGTTCACAGGAACATGGCAAGCCAGGCAGAGGCTAAATAGTCTTCTGTAAATAAAAGGAAGACACGCTATATTATTTTTAGTTAAATGACTGTTTCCACTCTATGGAGCTGTGTATATGAGGTAACTAAGAAATAGTGGCTAAATTTTAAGAAATGGGTGTTCTATAGCCAAGGCTACTATTAACTTTACATTCCCTGGCGTGCTGTGGAACAGAAGATTTTTCATTGGAAAGTCCCCTACTGTCAGCTTCTGAGCAAGATGTGCCTGAAGTGGTGCCTGGCCAGCTCTCTCAAGCTGCTGACCTCTCGGGTGTTGAGAGGCTAAGCAATGCCCAGAGGTATCCCCCACTTCACAATTCCTGGCATAGGCAGGAGAAAAGGAAAAGAAGGAACAGGTGAAGAGAGAGAAAGTGTCAAGGTGCTGCCTTCAAATCACTGGAAGATTCCCATGTCAGACTGGTTTACCCTTGTTGATGAGCAGAAAGATGTACTATCTGACATGTTAGCTGAAAAAGCTAACAAAAGATCTGTATCAGCAGTAACTGCTAATTCTGTAGCCAGAAGACATCTCCTTCAGTATTTAAGGGGAAAATACCTGGTATAATTAGAAGTTGGGAATAACCCTGGACATAAACTTCGAACATGCTCAGTACTTAGGACTAAGCCATATGTTAACCATTGTACAAATCAAGAAAAAAGTCTCCCTTCAGTCTGGTGCGGTTGGCTGCCCTAGTGCAGTGTATGACTGGCACAACCATTTGTCAGGAGCCTACCAACCCTGCTTGACAGGGTCACAAAAATGGTAAAAGCCAAGAAAAGCACTAGACTTGGAGTCAGAAATAATTCACACCCTCACCTTTGCCTCTCCTGTGCTAGAAGACCTTTGAAAAGTCATTAAACTGAGGTTTCCTCACTCTGTAAACTGGGGATAAGGAATATGAATAGAATTCCAACTGTGAAGATGGACTAAGGTATGTGAGGGCGCTCTAGAGCAATCCCTGGCAAACTGTGTTCAACTATTTGTTAAAATGACCCACACTTTTTAAGGAAAAGGATAATACAGAAAAAATAGGTATCCTAAACTCAAACCCAACTCACAGCTGAACCTCCTGAGTGATGAATGGTAAAACAGGAGGAGGTGATCACGAACGCCAGATCTCATTCCTCCATTTAAGAAAACTTCCCATACTGTGTTGCTGAGTAGGGTAGCACCCCCTTATCCTCGGTGGTGGATGCCTGAAACTGCAGCTCGTCCTGAGCCCTATATATGATTTTTCCGATACGTCCATCCCTGTGGTAAAGTTTAATTTATAAATTAGGCACAGTAGAGAGTAAAACAACAAAATAGAACAATTATAATAATATACTGTAATGAGTTATGCGAATGTGGTCTCTCCCTCAGAGTATCTTACTGCACTGATACTCACTCTTGTCCTGGCATAAGATGCTAAGGGGCCTATGTGATGAGATGAAGGGAGCTGAATGACCAGGCACTGTGACGAGGCATTAGGCTACTACTGACCTTCTGAGGATACATCAGAAAGAGGATCGTCTGCTTCCGGACCGTAGCGCCCGCGCGTAACCGAGCCACGGGAAATGAAGCTGCAGACAAGGGGACTACTGTCATGCCTGTGAAGAAATTGGGTCAGAGGCCAGAAACTGTTTCTATAAGTAACCAGTCAACAGGCTCTCTATGAAACATGATCACCTCAAGTTCTTTGATAAATTTGTGCACAAAGACCTCAGAAATTAAAAGAAAGGACAAAATCTTACCTAGAATACCTTTTTATTTCTATAAAGCATCTCTTAAAATAATTTCAAAATTCTGTATGACACTTGTCCACATCATGCCTTTAGGGAAAAAAGGCAAGGAGCATTACTTTGTATTATTATTAGAGAGAATTAGCACAAAGGCTGTGGACATTAATTTCCACAAGAAATTAATGGTAGCTATGGTTCAAAAAACTCCATCTCTGGGCTGTTAATTCCCCCAGGACAAACCCAGGGAGCAGCTGCATTTGACAGCAGAGATGGTACAGAAATGCAAGCAACAGAAGGTATCAGAAGTGGTCAGTGTATGAACTAGATGGCTTTTCCATTTCAGTTGCTTTTCGGTTTCTAGAAAGCTTGCTAGAGAACAGTGATGATTGCAAAAGTCCCCCTAAGGCACACTGCAGATACTGATTTCTTTGGGCCCAGAATTATTATTTTAATACAGAGAGGATAAAATAGCATTCTTAAATTCTGGTATTTTTTTCTCAAAAAAATCTTCACTGTTTTCCGAAGTCATTACATTCAATAAAGCAATTAAGAATTCTAGAGGACTTACACACACTTTTTCTGAATAGTTCAAAGAATGAGGAACGATAAATGATTTTTTAATTCCACTTTTGAGCTCTGTAAATAAGCAAGTTGGATTTATTCTGAATCTGCCTTTTACATTAGATTCAGATGTAATAGAAGTTAGGAGGGGGAGAAGAAATGGCCTATGACCAACCCCACCAAAAAGAGGGAAATAGGA